AGCCCGAAGTCATCCCTTACTTCAATCTCCTAGAAACTGTCAAAAAGCTGTCTATAACTTACCCCTTCCTCTTCAAACAGCCTGCACAACGAGGAATCCTCCTTAATCCCGACCAGCGCGTCAGATATCCTGTCCCTCATCCTCCTGGCCAGCCCGGTATCATCCCATACTTCAATCTCCTAGAAACTGTCAAAAAGCTGTCTATAACTTACCCCTTCCTCTTCAAACAGCCTGCACAGCGAGAAATCCTCCTTAATCCCGACCAGCGCGTCAGATATCCTGTCCCTCATCCTCCTGGTCAGCTTGAAGTCATTCCTTACTTCAATCACCTAGAACTTGGTGTCAAAAAGCTGTCTATAACTTACCCCGTCCTCTTCAAACAGCCTGCACAAAGAGGAATCCTCCTTAATCCCGACCAGCGCGTCAGATATCCTGTCCCTCATCCTCCTGGCGAGCTCAAAGTCGTCCCTGGCTGCAGCAGTCCTCTTGCGGAGACGCCACCGCCCGATGCGGATTCCAGCAGCGGCTAGTGCCGATCCAGCTGATTTGAGACGACGGGCGTACTCGAAACGCTCCTCTAAAAGAAAAGATTCAAGATTTAATATACCGGGACCAAACAATCCGAAAGGAGATCAAGGCATGATGAATCTGAACAATTTTTTCCGAAATATGAAAAAAATTTGGACTTCTAACACAAATTCGCTGATCAGCTGATTGATTTACTATGAGAGGACCAATTTTTTTGTCATATTCCGATCCATGTTTTATCAGTAAGAAATCGCAGACTTGCCACGACTTGTCTAGATTTCTTGTATCTATAGATGAAAAACTTAACAGAAGTAAAACATCAACATACCAGCAACAGCAACCCGCTTCTTCTCGTCCAAACTCCTGACGATATCCGCAATCTCGTTGTCCACGTACATGACGAAGGCCAGATCATCGTAGGGCGAGTAGCTCATCTCTTTGGAGGAAACCGGTGAGGCCTGGTCGGTGTCTTCGAGTTCCTCGCCCAGGACGTTCACGGCCATAAGCGCTACCTGGTGACAACATCATCCAGGTAAATTTTTGGAGCTAAAGGATTTGGAGGCAACGATAAAAAACTTTGCTGGGTAGGTAGTCGTTGCCTGGTTGAACATGGCATCGATGTTTCTAAAGTTCTATCAGCAGAAAATACCGCATTCGAATATAACAATAGAAATCGCATCAGCAGGACGGCAATATAGGTACAGGTCAGTGAATATGACCCATAGTAGACTGTCATGTTAGAGGTATCACAAAGGTAGGTTTTTCGTATAGAGTTAACAGTTTTTCGAGGGTAGGTCACGCCATGCATTGGTTAGCTTAGCGTAGGACGCTCTCCTCCGGCAAGATGGACCTATGACTTAAAGACTGAGGCGGTTTGTAGCTATGTGTAGATGGCGAAAACGAGACTCATTGCGCAACCTGGAGGAAGTAGTCTGATTGGCTGATTGAATCACATCATTACCTACATCAGCTTATAGCAGCCTTGTTCTCTTAAGGTTATTGTTAATCTACCTGATCATCTTCTTTGGCAGGGGGGTGAGGGGCGGAGAGGCGAAGTTTGACAAAGCGGGCTACGGTCGGCTCGGGCAAGGCAGCAGATCTGGAAAAATTACGTGAATTATTTGAATGGCATTTCTGATTCGTCATACTTATTCTTATTAATCTATGAGTGGAACAACGAGTTGATCAACGACTCCAGATGAATTCCGTTATTAGTGCTTTCAAACCACCTATTTCGCCGCCTGGGTTAGAGACACCGTGGTGTAGAGGGAATCACGTTTGACATGGCTTGTCAGAAGACGTGGGTTCGAATCCCATCAGCGGCGTGAATTTTATTTTCCTCTTGATTGGTTTGTATTAACAACTAGACTGAGACTTAAGCACAACACGGAATCGTGTTTATTCGATCGGGCAACATCGTAAAAGGTCGAAAAGAGTTTGCTGCACTGTCTGACCACCACATTCGGATAGAAATTAAACTCAGGACCTTCGGATTTTAAGCGACGGAGTCTTCTTCTTCGGATGAAGAACGCAGTCTCTTTATAGTCCATTGTAAGCATAGTGTAATGAAATGACATGACCAGCCTAAGCGGGAGGCCATGTTACGCTATTACAGTATTGCGGCCAGCGTAACTTGGCATCCCGCTTAGGCTGATCATGACACTGTGATTTTCTATCGACTAGGTATAGATACCGACCTTAGTTCCCTGGTCCTGGCTTGGGGCAGCGGCTTGGCGAGCGCAACGCGCCCGACGCTGGTGTAGGGCGCGCCGCAAGGAGTTGCCGCCCCTTCGGAGACCAGACCCCCTGACACCAACACCTCCACTGATGACGCTGGAACAATCGAGGACATGAAGTCATTCCTTTTTTAATTAGATAGGCCCGCATTATTGTCTGCAGTAACGCTGACTAAGTCACTCAACGTAGTCAGTCAATAAAACTCACGGTCGAGCTGGTGGTGAGCCAGGAGCTGCAGCTTGTGCAGGCTGGCGGCGCGGGCGAGCCGGAGGAGGAGCTCGTGGGGCGGAGGCCCGGTGGAGCGCCAGCCGCGCGCCTTGGGACCCAGGCTGACTCTATAGTTATGGTCCAGATGGACTATGAATGTGACTCTGGAAGGCATCAGTCTCACGAGTGTCTTGCGACAACTCTAGTAGTTTATCGTAGATACCAAACGACTATAAGTACCTGACCTTAAAGGTTGTCGTATGGACACTTCCATACCTGATGATCCGGATTGAAGGTGAAACAACAAGGACCTTTTGCCATCGGTATTTCGGCACTCATTTAGTTTAAATGCTGACTGACTCACTCAATGTAGTAAGTCTATATTCTCACGGACGAGCTGGTGGTGAGCCAGGAGCTGCAGCTTGTGGAGGCTGGCGGCGCGGGCGAGCCGGAGGAGCAGCTCGTGGGGCGGAGGCCCGGTCGACCTTGCTTACTCAGCTGACTCAAATAACTCAAGGTCACATCACATTATACATAGGCTTCCCACAGGGCGCTGCAAGGCACGATCTCCCGGTTTCGCCATCCAATTCGCTACAAACAAGCCGCTCTCTTTGAGTCATCGGTCCATCTGGCCGGAGAGCGCTACGCTTGTCGAACCATGGCCTCCTCTCGAGAACTCGCTTATTCCATCGTCCATCGCTTTTACGGTAAATGCGACCAGCCCACTACACTTCAGCTTGCTACACTAGAGTCAATGTAGTAAGTCTATATACTCACGGACGAGCTGGTGGTGAGCCAGGAGCTGCAGCTTGTGCAGGCTGGCGGCGCGGGCGAGCCGGAGGAGGAGCTCGTGGGGCGGAGGCCCGGTCGACCTTGCTTACTCAGCTGACTCAAATAACTCAAGGTCACATCACATTATACATAGGCTTCCCACAGGGCACGCTGCAAGGCACGATCTCCCGGTTTCGCCATCCAATTCGCTACAAACAAGCCGCTCTCTTTGAGTCATCGGTCCATCTGGCCGGAGAGCGCTACGCTTGTCGAACCATGGCCTCCTCTCGAGAACTCGCTTATTCCATCGTCCATCGCTTTTACGGTAAATGCGACCAGCCCACTACACTTCAGCTTGCTACACTTCCAGAGTCAATGTAGTAAGTCTATATACTCACGGACGAGCTGGTGGTGAGCCAGGAGCTGCAGCTTGTGCAGGCTGGCGGCGCGGGCGAGCCGGAGGAGGAGCTCGTGGGGCGGAGGCCCGGTGGACCTTGCTTACTCAGCTGACTCAAACAACTCAATGTCACATCACATTATACATAGGCTTCCCACAGGGCACGCTGCAAGGCACGATCTCCCGGTTTCGCCATCCAATTCGCTACAAACAAGCCGCTCTCTTTGAGTCATCGGTCCATCTGGCCGGAGAGCGCTACGCTTGTCGAACCATGGCCTCCTCTCGAGAACTCGCTTATTCCATCGTCCATCGCTTTTACGACAAATGCGACCAGCCCACTACACTTCAGCTTGCTACACTTCCAGAGTCAATGTAGTAAGTCTATATACTCACGGACGAGCTGGTGGTGAGCCAGGAGCTGCAGCTTGTGCAGGCTGGCGGCGCGGGCGAGCCGGAGGAGGAGCTCGTGGGGCGGAGGCCCGGTGGAGCGCCAGCCGCGCGCCTCGGGGCCCTGCGCGTTCAGCTCGCATGCTGGGTACGCTGGCTCTTCACCTGGGTAACAAAAGTATTTCATGTATTATCTTTAACCACTCGTTGTCGCTCTCGAAAAGTAAAAAACTTTCATCTTTCTTTTCTTTTCTTTTCTTTTCTTTTCTTTTCTTTTATTTTCTTTTTTCTTTTTTTTCAACGTTTACCCTACATGTGGGTTCACCACTTCACCGAAATAGTTACATACCGAAATGGAACCTAAAACTTAAGGTTAATTTCAGAGGTTTGAGTTTGAATTTAAGAATCTTAGATTGAGGTAATGATGGTAGCAAAAAAAACCATGGACGTAAAAAACAGTAAAACTCATTTCTCGTTCGTAGTTGAGATCAATAAAATGAACTATCATGTGAATTAACTGTCAATGACTGGCATAATCAACGTCATACAGTCGAATACAGTAAGCAGCACATCAATGATACTGGTGTTTCCTACAGCTACTAAGAGTAACCAGTATAATTTCATCTCTTCAATGTGTAGGTTGTCATGCTGCTGCCGCGTGGTGCCGGCTTAGAATAGCATCACCCCATATCTTTCCCGTGGGTGTCGTAAGAAGCGACTAAGGGATTTGTTACTATGGTGATACACAGTCTTCTGAATGTCTCTCAAACTCTCGTGAGACGTTGTGTAAATGGCCGTTTTTACAGCCGTTTACGCTCTGTCTACCCCACAAAGGACATGGCGTAATGTATATATGTAGGTAGGTACTAATATAATAACTACTATAATTGAATGTAGGTATTGGAATTTTTAATGCACTCACAGCGCAATATTATTCTCATAAAATGAAAATGAGAAAATTGAAAAAATCACTAGTGACCGCCGGGACTTGAACCCGGGACTGTGGATCACCGTTCCACCGCTCTACCGACTACGGGCGCCTAGCGGACCCTGGTGAATCTTTCAAACTTTTGATGCTCGTCTCGAATCGACGATCCAGCGACATCTGTAGAAAGTATTTAGAACTTTACTACATAGTTAGTCCACATTTATGAGTGGAATTCAAACCATATATGAAGCTTGCTTATAACCTATGTATTGGAATTTTTAATGCACTCACAGCGCAATATTATTGTCATAAATTGAAAATGAGAAAATTTATTTTACTATAATTTGATCCCTAATGTGTTGGTTGATATGCTGCTAATAGGACTTCGAATGATGGATTACCATGTCATGACACAGACACACCTTTATCATCATATTATGCTACGTTTCGTACCCTCGTTTGTTGTACATGAAACCGGAAATTAGCGTGTCGTGGCAACTTCAACAACAACAACGTCTATGACCATGAAACTAGAGAAACTGCACTGTAATACTAGTTATTATTCTGTGACTGTAAACATGCTACGTTCAAATCAAACATGCTACGTTCTAATCCCAATCCACTACGCAAGTGCTACGGCAAGCGTAGCTCGTAGCCGATTCGTAGCAAGAATGTAGCAAGTTTGATATCTTCGTATTAGGTACAACTTGCATTTCGGTTTAGTTTTTCCAACAAACACCCATTATTGTGGATTACCAGGGCCTTACCACAAAAAAGTTAGACCAGTGTCGAACGCGTGTTTAAAATAAAACTTCATACAAAAAAACGCTAGCCACGCGTTCAACGCTGGTCTAACTTTTTTGTGGTAAGGCCCCCAATGTTTGTCATTAGCAATTTTATCAAATTTCTAGTCGAAATATATTTGAATCATCGACACGAGAGAAGAAGAAGAAATATTATCTTCATACCTACCTATTGTGGCGTAGCAGTAATTATGGAAGATTGGAGCTCATCATCAAGTTGGTGGTTAACATAAAATTAGTTTTGGCTTTTATGGATATTTTGTGATGGATAAATTTTGCAACTGATATTTTGTCGATCCTTAACAACTTTTGCCAAACTTGAAACTTAAAAATCCTCCCGTAGAGGGATCGTCACAAGCCTGTTGAGCTGTTTTTTTTTAATTTATTACATTTTGATCTTTGTTCCTTAGGGAAAGTTGTTCCATTTATCCTATTGAGATTAGCGTTCTCGGGAAAGTCAGTCGTTCGGTAATACTCTATAAAACTCTGACACCAGGGTTCATCGGGTCGTTTGACGACTCGGTGTTCCACACGAAGAGAGACTTATTTTGATGTTTTCACACCCAAGAGAACCCGTATCTTTTTCTCTCTGTTTACCCTCTGGTTGGCCGGTAGAGATTGCTGCGTAGTATTAGGCCCGCCTTTTTACTATGTGCAATAAAGAAAAAAAATAAGACGGAGAGAGAGAGATACATATTTTTAACATCAGGGTTTTAATTATTTCTGTTTCAATTTCAATGTTTTCAACAGTAACATTACGATGTCCATCATATATCGATTACAAGGGCAATTCGTTGCCACTGATATTAATATTTGATTACATAATGGGCTGCACCTGTGTTTTGACCGACTTAAAAAACAGACGGAGGCTCGAAAATTGACGGGGACGATGTCCTTTGAAAAAATGTAATAATGTTCTTTTTTGTTTTTTGTATACCTATACGCGACTCTACAGGTGGTCCCATTAGCCATCAAGTCAGGATCTAATGATAAGATCCTAGAGAAATCGAGGGATTCTTCAAACTTCATAGAAATCTTTGAAGTCGTTTTTAATAGCGATATTAGCCGTGTGATAGCGAGCAGCTATCCACTCCTTATAATACTGCCACCCCTAGGCCACTCAGGGTATTTCGTAAAAGGCGAAATAGAGTTCTTGACCTCGGCTGAATATCTGTCAACTATGGTCAACCGTATGGAGGCGGCGATACCACCTACAATAGCATTCCCAGAGAGGGATGACGTCAGGCATGCGGCCGGTCATAAGACAAATCCTTCTGCTGCATGATTTTGTGTTCTAACAAAATATGTAGCGCCGACCCCAACTGATTTGGGGGATAAAGGTAGGAAGATGATGATGATTTGTGTGTTAGGTTAGGAAACCTTTGTTACGTTATAATTTTAATGTTTTTGTAAAAAAATGGGTATTTACACCACATCTGACAAAAATTTGAGAGTCATTCAGAAGACTGTGTAATTGTGTATATCACTCAATGTGTAGGTTGTCATGCTGCTGCCGCGTGGTGCCGGCTTAGAATAGCATCACCCCATATCTTTCCCATAGTGTCGTAAGAAGCGACTTGGTTGTCAACCTGTCACTATGGTGATACACAGTCTTCTGACTGACTCTGAAACTTTTGTCATGGTGTAAATGCTCCTTTTTTATAGCTGTTTACGCTCTGCCTACCTCGCAAGGTATATAGGCGTGATGTATGTTTGTAGGTACTAATAATAACTACTACATAAGTTGATCCCTAATGTGTTGGTTGTAATAGGACTTCGAATGATGGATTACCATGTCATGACACAGACACACCTTTATCATCATATTATGCTACGTTTCGTACCCTCGTTTGTTGTACATGAAACCGGAAATTAGCGTGTCGTGGCAACTTCAACAACAACAACGTCTATGACCATGAAACTAGAGAAACTGCACTGTAATACTAGATTCTGTGACTGGACTGTAAACATGCTACGTTCAAATCAAACATGCTACGTTCTAATCCCAATCCACTACGCAAGTGCTACGGCAAGCGTAGCTCGTAGCCAATTCGTAGCAAGAATGTAGCAAGTTTGATATCTTCGTATTAGGTACAACTTGCGTTTCGGTTAGTTTTTCCAACAAACGCCCATTATTGTGGATTACCAATGTTTGTCATTAGCAATTTTATCAAATTTCTAGTCGAAATATATTTGAGTTATCGACACGAGAGGAGAAGAAGAAATATTATCTTTATATCTACCTATTGTGGCGTAGCAGTAATTATGGAAGATTGGAGCTCATCATCAAATTGGTAGTTAACATAAAATTAGTTTTGGCTTTTAGAAACTGATATTTGTTAAGGATAAATTTTGCAACTGATATTTCGTCGGTTGCCAAACTTGAAATTAAAAAAATCCTTCCGTAGAGTGGTCGTCACAAGCCTGTTGAGCTGTTTTTTTTTATTACATTTTGACCTTTGTTCCTTAGGGAAAGTTGTTCCATTTATTCTATTGAGATTAGCGTTCTCGGGAAAGTCAGTCGTTCGGTAATACTCTATAAAACTCTGACACCAGGGTTCATCGGGTCGTTTCACGATTCGGTGTTCCACACGAAGAGAGACTAATAGACTAATATTATATGTATGCTTATTTTGATGTATTCACACCCGAATGCACTCATTTACCTCTGTTTACCCTCTGGTTGGCCGGTAGAGAATGCTGCGTAGCATTAGGCCCGCCTTTTTTACTATGTGCAATAAAGAAAAAAAAAATAAGACGGAGAGAGAGAGAGATATTTTTAACACCAGGGTTTTAAATATTTCTGTTTCAATTTCAACGTTTTCAACAGTAATATTACGATGTCCATCATATATCGATTACAAGGGCAATTCGTTGCCACTGATATTAATATTTGATTACATAATGGGCTGCACCTGTGTTTTAACCGACTTCAAAACAGACGAAGGCTCTAAAATCGACGGGGACAGTTGTCAAGAGCGAGTAAGAAAATTAATTGAAGAAAATGATGTAGAAGTTAAGAGAAGATGGATCCAGGATCCTAAAGATATCGAGGAAACTCTTCTCTACCACGCATAATAACATTCCCAGAGAGGGTTGACGTCAGTCTGTCATAAAACAGACAAATCCTTCTGCTTCATGATTTTGTGTTCTAACAAAACATGTTGCGCCGACCCCAACTGATTTGGTATAAGGGCAGGAAGATGATAATGATTTGTGTGTTAGGTTAGGATACCTTTGTTACGTTATAATTTTAAATGTACGTTGGCTATTAAAACCATTTTGTAAAAAATTTGCCTGACAAAAGTTTGAGAGTCATTCAGAAGACTCTGTAATTGTGTATTGATCACTGGAGGATAAGTGAGTAGGATTGCTTTTGCTTTGACTATAAATTAAGAAACATGTCTTTATCGTTCGAAAGCTGATGTTGCGGCGCAGTGGTTAGCAGATCACTATAGTTTCAGGTTGTCAGCCTGTCGCCTAAAATTGCAATACACGTCAACTCTCAAATCCCTTTTCTTACGACACCCTCGGGAAAGATGGAGTGATGCTATTCTAATCTGGCACCTCACTTTAACTCAAAAGTGCTTGGTAACTATTAGGTACCTCTTGATTTTAAGGTTCCGTGGTTATTATCACTAAGACATTTTTCATAAGGGTTTTAACTCACGGTAGGGATATATCGAACACCCTATATTTACCCCGTTTAAAACCCGTTATAATGTCTATTATAGTATTAGGTACATGTCTTATCTTATTATTAAAACAAATAAAGCATTTAATTTTTCTTCTTATTTATAAAATTTTACTATCTAGGTACTTACTAGTAGCGTAGACTACGTGAAAGGGAATACGTTTCGGCATAGCACTATCTTTTCTTCTTCACCAAATCTATTTCCATTTTCATTTATATCACTCTACAGAAATTCTATTATGAAAATGTTACCGAAAGACCGCATAAAAGAACGGGCATTTTGAAGGTATTACGCAAAACGGAACTTTTTACAACGTTTGTAAGAACAGCGAAAATATACTAGGACTCCATGTCTTATGTTATATAGAAAGCCGAAATCACAGTTTAAAATTAATAGTCTTTTTAATAAATTATTCCTAATAAGCGGCGGAGGACACTGAAGGGTTGGGGTGTGAAGTGAGCCGCGGAAGGCTGCTGCGTGAAGTGGGAAAATCAATATTTTCGCGCCAATCGTCCAGCCGCCATCTTGGAAAAGGCTGTAAATGGCGCCATCTGTTGGAGTTTTTCATTTTCAGCTAAAGCTCAGATGAAGGAAGGAATACGAAGTAAGGAATT